GGCCTTGTCTAGCCCGGCATTCACGGCATGAACCGAAGCCTCAGGGCAGAAGGGAGATCCGGAAGCGTCCTTGTAGCGTGGGCTGTGGTTTTAGGCTGCCGAGTTACCACCATCCAGATTTCAGGTGAGACCCCGACAGCGTCCTGCCACTGGGCCACCTCCCTCCATCTCTGTGGCGTATCCCTGTATTTCTCCGCGAGAGAATGGATTTCCTGGCTTGAATTTATTTCTCTGAATCTGGTGGAGAAAAGACCAGGTTTATCCAGCCGTTTTGGCTTTCGTGTTTCAAAGCAGAGTAAAAAGCTCAAAGAAATGTTACAGTTTTGCCTGAGGTAGGGTCGTTTTGACTCAAGTATGGAAGTACAGACTCCAGAGCTCAAGGGAGACCTACTTGGAGAGTAAGCATGGGCTTATCTTTGTCTGTGTGTGTGTGTGTGTTTGTGTGTGTGTGTGTGTTTGTGTGTGTGTGTGTGTGTTTGTGTGTGTGTGTGTGTATACACGTGCGCGGACGCATGCACACGTAGGGGAAGTGGGGAGTCTTCGTGCCCGTTAGCAAATAGAGATGTCACTCGCAGGGCTGACAGAGCCTGCGGTCCTGTGTGAGAAGGTGCCGTGCTGTACTGAATTCAGCTCTGGTACACAGAGGGTCATCATATGCATTTCGCCTAAGAGAATGGTTTCTTTTCATGGCTTTCTGGGCGCGCGGGTGGCTGAGCTAACCGGTGCGGTCAGTTTTAGCCCTGGCTCGCAGGGTTCCTTTTAGAAAAGGTCAGGGCACTACCTATAGCCTGCTGTGTGCACGAAGGAAGCACCAACGAGCCGTGAGACCGAGCGACTGCAGACGGACGTCTGTCTGAGGTCCGGGCCCACCTGCGGTTAGTGAGGCAGACAAGGTATGCGCCACCTCTCCCGGGCCGTGCCCAGACGTGTGGCCTGCACGGGGACCTGGGAGGTCTGTGAGTGTCCTCCTCTGGGGCAGCGGGTGCTGGGCACCTGTCGATTCTCCCTCACCTGAGAGACACGCGAAGAGGAAGCGGGAAAGCCAGAGAGCACCCGTGTGGTGCTTGACCATGGCAGTCCCGTCCTCGCCTCCCCTTCTGTTAGAGAGTGTGGTCACACAGGTACACCTGCCCGGTGTGTTTCTCAAGCCACTGAGTGCAGGACCCCGACTGCACAGCATCTGTCTGGGATCCAGCCACCCTGCCCACCCTGCCACGGTCCGGCCCCACGGCTGCCTTTATAAACACCTGGGACCCAGCCACGGTCCGACCCCCCG